ATCGGGACATGCGGGACATTGAAATTTCTATTAGATAAAAATATACAGTTTTTTTTTCTTATAAGATAGATAGATTTTATTTCGATCAGCGGGACATGCGGGACATTGAAATTTGTATTAGATAAAAATATACAATTTATTTTTTTCTTATAAGATAGATAGAATTTTTTTTGATCATCGGGACATGCGGGACATTGAGATTTCTATTTAAAAAAAAGAATTTTTTTCTTTGGAAACAGATAAATTTTTCGATGAGCGAGACATGCGTGGCATGAACTTTTTTTTTTGTTTTAATTATATTATTCTAAAATGCGTGTTATTCGATTTTTAGCGAGTTGATTAATTTGTTACAGAGTAGTCGATCAGTAGGATTATAATTAAATTCAGAAGAATCGAATTTCAGATGTAAAAGATAATTTAATATTTAGTTAGGCTTTTCTCATTGTTTAATATTTGGTAGATTGTAAAAAATAATTTTTTTTAAATACTGATCGGATTTGATTTTTTTATTTCAAAAAATAATTTTATTAAATAATTTTATTTGATGTTAGTTTAGAATATTGGAACTGGATAAAGTATTTTTGTAATGCAGAATGAATCAATTGAATTGTTTAAAAGTTTCGAGCAGTTGACTTGGCATGTGAAAGGCGATATTTTTCTAAAGCTTTATTAAATATTGGATGATACTAATCATTTTTTTTCGTATGGAATAAATAGTCATATATAATGATATATCAAGTGAAAATAGTCAATTTTTGTTTAAGATGATGGTGAATGGTGTGGGCGTAAATGATATAAAAGTAAGTTTTCAGATCGATTCATTTAAAGTGAGATAAAAAGTTTATGGAATATGTGTTGGAATTGATGAATAATTTTATGGTGCGCTAAAGAAGGAAGAGGTGAGGTATTAGATCAACAAGATTAGTTCAAGTGTGAAATAAGTCAACCGAACTAATTAAATGAAAAAGAAATTTAAAAATGGCTCCAAAGTAAATTAATAGAATGACCGACGGTTGTAGGACAATCCTTAATCTTCTCGCACATGTTCTCTTGTGTTATCAATGGAAAATTAGATTTTTTATTATATATCACTTCGTTTAATCCGATTTCCATTAAACAGAATGTATGGTGAACCCAGAATTTAAATTTTGGAGACACAGCTATATCTTCACGTTTTAAAACTTTAATCATTTTGGAACACATGTCATTGTTAATCGTATATTTTTCTCTTTTTTTTCATCAACATTGTTGATGTATGACTTTAATTTCGAAATAAATATTTCCATAAAGTTAAATTTGATAAGCTAAAAATGAAACAATAAATGAAATAACTTAATTAGAAAAGTTGTCATAGCCATAGGACTGAATCTTCGTTTCGTAGAAACGAACCTCTAATAAGAAACTATAAAATAGACTATCTTGAGGTTGTCACACAGATTTCATAGATAAAAATATTTTCAAATGTAAAATTTTATGAATTGTTCATTTATTAATACCAATCAAAACAATTTTTATAAATACCAACTATATATAGCCCTACGAATACAACGAAAATGAAATATTCTTTTGTAAAATGAAATAAGAATGAATATTATAAATCTTTTATAAAAATCCATTCATAATATTGTAATAATATTCAATTTGAATCAAATAGATTTATTGATGAAAAAAAAGAAAGATTTTATTTTTTATGCTCTCTCTCTTTTTTCTATCTTCAAATCTATGTTTATATTTAATTTTGTTTTCTCTTTTTTTTCTATATTTTTTTTCGCGCATTCCAAACTCAACTGAAATTCTCATGTCAACTGTGACATATATATTATAAAACATACCCAAATAAAGCTTGATTAGGTATTGTTGTTATATTTAATTGTAGAAAACAACGATTACGTAATAAACCTTTCCATAATTGTACACCAACAACACCAAATATAAAGAAGACAAAAAAACAAAGAAGTAACACATTCCCAAGCATTGGTAATGTATCCAATAATAACATGACAAGTATACGCATTGATGGGACACGGTTTATCGCACGTAATGGACGAAGTACTCGAATTGTACGGATTGCTGATAAACTTAAATTATCACCTGGGAGTACTGCTTCTATTAAACTATAATAAAAAAAGAAATTTATTTAATCGATCAAAGAATTAATTCTTCCCTTGTTATTCCGAAAAATATTGACTGAAACTATCTTTGATTTTTGCATTTATCTCCCTCCTCTGATGTCGATTAACACATTTATTTGAAAATAAATAGAAGAAGATATAAAAAACTGATATAACTATATTATTATCAATTAAATAAATGTTACTTTTATTAACTATTAATTAATTAAAAAGATCTATGAAAAATGTAAAATAATATTGAAGAATTTTATTTTTATTTTAACTAATAGATTTTTAAAAAAAAAGAAATCGCTGAATTTAATATATAATTTTTTGGTATTCTTTATCAATTAAATTATATAAAATGTTGAATAAATAATTTATTGTTGATAAAAAATATCTTTCTTTATTTATTCCATGAGATAGTAACTTAAATAGATTTGTTTTTAGAAAACATTTTATTGAATATTTTTTCTTTTATTATATTAGTCAAATATAAAAAAAACAAAGAAAGCATTATAAAAATCTATCTACTTGAAACTCGTATTGTAGAAACGAGATAATAATAATTATTATCTTTCATAGTATTTGATTTAGAAAATTATTTTATCAAATATTTTTCGAAAATCATCATTGAACGTTATGTTTAACATTATTGTTTTACATTATCAACTGATGTCATTTTGATTTTTATTGACCATGTATAAACGATGAAGATGTGTTTATTGACAAACTGATTTGTCTATTATTTGCTTGATTAGACTAATTTTATTTTTAAAATTATTTTCTTTTCTTTCATATTCTTCTTTATTTTTTTGTTTTACATGAATAGATCATAGAAAATCTATTTTCATAGAATTGACAATCATTGTTACAATGTATAAGTACTATGGCTAAATTTAAAAAAATATATTGTTCACAACAATTTCTATTTGCTACGAATGATTAAAAAAATTCAGTTTATCTATTTAGGAAAATGATATTCCATCTGTTTTGAAACTTATTTTTTAGATAATTAACCCTTAAGAGCCAAAGTGGCTTCCGCTTAAAAAAAAATGAGAATTTAGTTAGAAAAACAGAGATTATGGACCTTCAATATGCGCGCACTATAGTTAAAAACAACTAGCTTCTTTTTATTCTGGATCTATGCAACCTCCTTTAGCAGGAATATCAATCCCTGTAAAAATTCGAAAAAATAGGAATTTCAATCTGAAACTTTGCCTTTAGATAGTCTTTATAATACTTAATATGCTCCGAAATTTTCACTTAGAATGAATGCTTTTTTGTTGAGATATTCAAAATTCAAAAACCAGCTAAATTTTGCTAAAAATTTCAACATCCTGTATCTCATGAAAGAAACAATAGCTGTTCCTGAACATTTTGAAACTTCCTGAACACTACTAGGACTATGTATGAGCCAAGTTTCATGTAAAAAGTTCATTGTATTGATTCTTCTATGAGTCTGAATGTCTCACCGAAGGAGTTTTTTATTAATCACGGCAATCTGTTAGTAGATCGGTAAAAAGATTCTAGAATGCTGACATTGAATAGCTTGA